TAGTAGATTTGGATGTGCTTTCAAGTAGATTGGTAGTTTGAAATTTGTTTTTAATGGAGTCATAGTAATTTGTGATGATTTGCTTCTTTTCATTCGTTTAACTGATGGACGTGAAGTTGATCGTTGACTTGATGAGGGTGTCATTTGTTGTTTACGTTTATTTGATTTTGATGTTGTTGTATTATTTTCATTGATATTATCATTTAAGCCATTGGACACTTCCATTTTTTCAACTGTTGTATCTTGTTGTAAATTCGTTTTCCGATTATTAGTTTGATTTCTATCTTGATTACTATGATTATATTCATTAATTAATTTTTGTATTTCTTCTTCGGTGAGACCACGTTTACGCCATTTCTTTTTAAATCGTTGTAACTTACGGTTACCGTGGCATTTTTTTCTTCGTTTATTTTTTTTCGTTCCTAATGGTATATGTTGCTGTTGTCGTTCAATTTGATTTTGTGAATTCGAAGGTAATTGACCTGGATGTCGTTGTCCATTTGGAATTAAAGTTGAGTTTGAAGCTTTCATTTTTTTTAGAATAGAATCTGAAAAAAAATATACATATATATGAAACAAATGAAAAAAAAATGTACACAAGAGAAAAATGGTGATAATGAAAACGATGATTTTTATTAAATTAATGCTGAACAGAATTTAAACGAACTAAATCAAGTTTATATTTATAAACACATTTGACACCGTCACTCATATTCTTCCAACGTCGTTCAATTAAAGTAATCATGCTGCTGTTGAATTTTTTATCATCTGGTAGTGACTGTTGTTTGACCTGAAATTGTTTTAATTTAGTATTAAATTCCTTCTGATATTGATCCATTTGAGCTTGAGCGGAAGAGAAATACAACTGTATCATATCTTTTTTTGCTTGTTGTGCTATGTTTATATATTGATCACGTAGTTTTTGTTGAATAGATTGATCTTCTATTGTTTTCAATAATTTTTCATTAGGTAATTCGAGAGATGTTGGCGATGATTCTTCAATTGAAATGCGATATTTCAATAAATTGTATTCTTCTTTAGTTATTTCTTCCTGATACTTTGCATGATTTAATTTTTCAACCATTTCTTTCTACAGCCAATAAAAAAAATGATGTATATGTGCATTCAAAATACAAAAAAAAATTTTATAATTACTTGTCGTTGAATTGGATTATATGCTAAAAATTTTAATTCCAAGACATAATCATTGTAATTGTAGTGAACAATTGCGATTTTTTGTTCTATTGCCAAGCGAGTAGATTGAAGTTGTTGATGAACAAATGCTTGAATTGTTGGTAGATAATTTACATATTGATTTTTTTTCATATTATATGTAGTTTGATATCGTTTCATTTTATCATCTAATTCATCAAGATATTGTGTGACGTAAGTTAAACAAGCAGTAGTATCAATGTTATCAGGTGATTGTTTACTAACAAGTTTTTGTACCTGAATTGGCCAAAGATGTGGACGATTCAAATTATCATTATCCATATGATTTAATTGAAGTTGACCTGTACCTGATTTTAAATAAGTTGTCCAGAGTAATTTTTCTAAATCTATTAAAAAAATTTGATGTATCACAATAGCCATTTGTCGTAATTCTTCGGCCAATTCATTTGACGATAAATCACTGATAATTTGTTCGAAAGATTTATTTTCTTTTGATAGATATAATGGAATATTTTCCGAAGTATCTACATTGACCATATTGAGATGTTCAGTTATGTGATGTGAAGTCATAGATAATTGACTTAATCTTTGTGATAAATCTTGTTCTTCCAATGACTAAACAGAAATAAGAAAAAAAACAAAAAAAAATTACTATGAAACGTAATCTTGATTAAAAAAACAGATCTTACTTTCACTTGAAATTTGGTTGGAACTTCTTCTTGAGTTTTGTTGGCCAATAAATTGTCAACTTCTGTTATAGAATCATTGTCCAAGGAAATATTCATAGTCCTTCCATTATTCTTTTTTTGTCCAGTTAACACTTGAGTTTGGAACAGTTGTTGATTCCGATGCCCTGGTTTCTCCATTTGTAACGGTATAGTATTCGTTTGAAATTGGAAATGATTGCAGTAAATAATATCTGAAAGAAAAGACTATGTACACATATGTATATATATATATATAAGTCTAAAGTTTGTAGCATAACACAAAAGTTGCATGAAAAATCGAACAATTTGTTTAAGTACAAACATATGAGATAGTTTTGATGCAAAAGAACTACATAGGAATAGAAACAATTAGATACAATTAGAAGAAAATATTGTCATCGATAGTATGAACGAATCCTAATAATTGTTTAGTACGTTTTTTCATATTTTTCAAACGATCTTGAATAATTTGATACATTGATGCACTGAATAAACCGTTTAAAAGTAATGGATCTTGTTCAAGAGCAGCACCATTCTTCCATGCAATTTGTTGATATATCGAGCTTGAACGATTCTTCTTTTTTTGACGAATTACTTTTTTGCAAAGTTCGAGTTGATCTCGCCAAATTTTTCGAACGATAACAATCTAAAATCAAAATAAACAAAAAAAAAGTAATTAGAAAACAAAAACAAACCTGTTCCACTGTTGGATTTAAATCATAGAATGATTTGACAAGATTTGCATCAGTGATATCAAAGTTTAATAAGATTTTCTTCTGTTCAAAGTTGGTATGCAAATAATACAGACTATTTTCGACAAGAGTAACAAGAACATTAGAGATGATGTTCAAGAAATGATCCATAGAAGTCTTATTGTATATTTCACAATCGAATGGACATGGTTGTTGTAAATGAATGTTTAAATTATATTCTGTTTGTTGTAATTTATTTTCAATGATTTTTTGTCGATGTTGAATATTTATTTTTGTTTTCGTATGATCCCAATTGATAGAATTTTGTTTCGTAATATCTTTACCAGCTTCTGATAACCAAACTACTACAGGTATGGTTATCAAATTGGCTATATTATTCCAATAATCTTGTTCGATTTTTAATTGTAAAACAGTACACATTAATTCAGCATGTTGTTGTAGAAATTGTAACATTGTAAAATCTGTTAACCATCCTTTGATATGATGATGAGAAGAATGAGGAATCAATCCAGTTAGCACATCTTTGAATTGATTAGGAGATAATTTTTTATAATTTGGTATAAGTTTTAACACTTGTTTCCAATGATCATTAGATAAATTGTAACATTTGCGTCTTTTTGGATACGTTGTAGCCGGTAATGAAGACCATTCTTCTTTTGCTTTAGGTTGTAATAATATAAATGATTCATCGATTGAATTAAGTTCTAAATTCTCATCACTATATTGATATTCATTTGTACGATTCTATAGATGATGAAAAAAAAAATCATTATTGTTACCATTCATCAATTCTGAACACATCTGATTTTTCAATAGCTTTGACATCTTCATGATATTACTCACCGTATTTACTATAAAATATCCATCCATTTGTTCTTCATATGTTTGTTGAGTATTTTGATGCATTGATATATTTTCTTTTTTAAGCAATATTAACATTTCAATTGCTTGATCAGTCATTCCTTTTGCTCGACATTTGCGTCTAAAATGTTGTAATTTTCGATTACCATGACACGTTTTTTTCTTCTTTTTCAATAAGCCGTCTTGCACGCTGGGTTGTTCAGAAGATTTTGGTACATATTCATTCATATCCATTGTTGAATGATGGTAAGATTTAAATCGATATATCTAAAAAATAAGAGATTAGAGTTCTACAGATTATAAAAACCTAAACATCTGCAAAAAAAACCAGTTTTATAGTTTTCTTTTTTTGTTATTCAAGAACAGTACTTGTTGGTCGATTGATAACAAGAGTAAGAATATATCCTAGTCGGGAGTTCTGATTCTCATAGAAAATTGACACAAACATCGATCCTAATGATGACAAAGATTTAAAGAAAAATTTTAAAATCTTAAAGATGTCGGTGTGGATGTGTTAAATCTCGTATTAGATAATATGTGGAAGAATAAAACATATTTCACTTGTGAGTGATAACATTGATAGATAACTTTATTTCAACGTGCATAAGTATACACACACCCACACACACAACATGTGAAATACAAACAAATGATGGTGAAAAACGTGTAAATTGAGTTGAATGATCAATATATCTGAAAACGAATCAATTAATTAGATGATTGTGAAACTTTATTATATATTCAACCAATGAACTCAAATCACATTATCCTGTCATAGTTGATCGTGTTTCATCGAATAATTAACATAGTTATTATCTATGTTTTATTTAGACTAGATCAGCAGTATATCGTAATTGGTATTCAACTACATATATGTCATCATTTCCAGTCTGATTATATTATATACAACAGTCATGAACTGTAAGTTATCTGTTATTTCATTATGTATGAAAAGCAGTGACAGCATCTACTTAGCACACATAATTCTTAACAAATTCATACAGAACATATAATTTCTATGTTTCATTTCATTCATGATTTCCAACAGTATATATTGACTATCATATGGCCTAATTGAGACTATATGTTAATGAAAACAATCAACATATCTTCAATCACATGGATGCTATTATCGAGTTCTTCACATATATGTACATTCTTATACAATATGAGCCAAGTCATTTCTTGATGATTACCAAAAAAACTTCACTTGATTTAATCTTATGACTAAATGTCGAACGATTTCAGCAGTTGATATAGAAGGAAAACCTCTTATATCTACAGGATCGTGGGGAAGATCATACTTATCCAGCTTGTATACAAAATACAATAGGATAATTGTGAGAATGTGCCACTATCTCACGACCTTCAATTGATCCACTAGCAATAGTTTGTTTGAAACATATATGTATGTTCAAATTACTAGCACTGTAGAGATAAGATCGAGAATGTGTTGCATAAAGCAACAAAGTTTCCATCTATTCTCCTACTGTAGTCGAAACGACACCCATATATTTTACAAGAACGTATGTCAACTTCATGTTTCTAGGCTCCATTCCGTCGTCTCAATTAAGACCCAATACATCATTTAGTCAATATGTTACTTCATTTGTCAACACATACGTAGGCCCACAATAACTTTCGTTCTGGTCATTAACCATTCATATATATATTCAACGAATGAAAGTCTCATACATGTGCGAACACTTTAATCATCGACAATCAATCGTTCACATATTTCATTTCCACAAGACATGAATTATGTACAAAAACGTATGTCAACTTCATGTTTCTAGGCCCCATTTCGTCATCCCAATTAAGACCTAATACATCATTTAGTCAATATGTGACTTCATTTGTCAACACACACGTAGGCCCACAATAACTTTCGTTCTGATCATTAACCATTTATATATATATTCAACGAATGAATGTCTCATACATGTGCGAGCACTTTAATCATCGACAGGTTCGAATTCTCACATAGTAGGTTCGAATCTACACTGGTGCAATGAATAAAAATATATCAGCGTATAGGTGTCGCTGATTGTCCGTAACACGATGATGATGAAAACAGTAACTAACTGAATTGTGTTACGGTACACTAAGGCGGCGAGGGCAGGCCTCGATCAATGATGGGTCCATGACGGAACCCTGGGTGATCGAGGCCTGCACGAAGATGGACTGGACGCAGCTGTCGAATAAGCGTGATGCACCTGGAGAAAGCACAGGTGAGAAGGGGCACTGACCTGGATGAAGTAGAGGTCAGAGGGGCACTGACCTGGATGAAGTAGAGGTCAGAGGGGCACTGACCTGGATGAAGTAGAGGTCAGAGGTGCACTGACCTGGATGAAGCAGAGGTCAGAGGGGCACTGACCTGGACGAAGTAGAGGTCAGAGGGGCACTGACCTGGATGAAGCAGAGGTCAGAGGGGCACTGACCTGGATGAAGCAGAGGTCAGACGTGAACTGACCTGGATGAAGTAAAGGTCAGAGGCGTACTGACCTGGATGAAGTAAAGGTCAGAGGGGCACTGACCTAGATGAAGCAGAGGTCAGAGGTGAGCTGACCTGGATGAAGCAGAGGTCGCTGGTGTCTGACCTGGATGAGATAGAGGTCAGAGGCGTACTGACCTGGATGAAGTAGAGGTCGCGGGTGCGGTGGCCTGGATGAGATAGAGGTGTACTGACCTGAATGAAGTAGAGGTCAGAGGTGTAGTGACCTGGATGAAGTAGAGGTCAGAGGTGTACTGACCTGGATGAAGTAGAGGTCAGAGGGGCACTGACCTGGCGAAGTAGAGGTCAGAGGGGCACTGACCTGGATGAAGTAGAGGTCAGAGGGGCACTGACCTGGATGAAGTAGAGGTCAGAGGGGCACTGACCTGGATGAAGTAGAGGTCAGAGGTGCACTGACCTGGATGAAGCAGAGGTCGCTGGTGTCTGACCTGGATGAAATAGAGGTCAGAGGCGTACTGACCTGGATGAAGTAGAGGTCAGAGGTGTGCTGACCTGGATGAAGTAGAGATCGCTAGTACGAAGACCTGGATGAAGTTGAAGGCGCTGATGAGCTGAACTGGATGAAATAGAGGACGCTGCTGTGCTGACCTGGATGAAGTAGAGGGCGCTGATGAGCTGAACTGGATGAAGTAGAGGGCGCTGATGTGCTGACCTGGATGAAGTACAGGGCGCTGATGAGCTGAACTGGATGAAATAGAGGTCGCTGGTGTCTGACCACGATGAAGTAGAGGTCGCTGGTGTTTGACCACGATGAAGTAGAGGTCTCTGGTGTCTGACCACGATGAAGTAGAGGTCGCTGGTGTCTGACCACGATGAAGTAGAGGTCGCTGGTGTCTGACCACGATGAAGTAGAGGTCGCTGGTGTCTGACCACGATGAAGTAGAGGTCAAAGGTGTACTGACCGGGAAGATGTATGAGTACTTGTAGCAGAGGTCAGGAGGTAGACTGACGTACAGGATAGATAACCACATGAAGCAGGGGTCGGCTGGCATTCTGACCTGAACCAACAATAAAGTGGAAGTCAGAATGGAACTGCCCTGTAGGTCTAATCACAACGTTTAGTGTAGCTGAGGCTCGGAGACATAGATCTCGCTCTAAGGTATACAGAGTGTAGATGTGGGTATGTTGATGATTTTAATTACAGTGAAGTAGCTAGGAAGACCGGTTTCGATAAGTGCTAAAATTAAACTTATCAGTTGTGTTTGATTTACGGTATTTTTAAACTATTATTTAGTTTTTTTGAGATTGAAAGCATCGTACGACGCGTTTCGTCCTGATGGACTCGTCAGGTGTGTTTACTATCTACAAGTACATTGAGATTTAGAATTCTTGAATTATTTAAGGAAGTTAAAGACCAATTTGTACTAGAAAATGTGAATAAGAAGATTATATTATTATTAAGAATTTTTGACATTGAAAGCATCGCACGACACGTTTCGTTCTTGCTCTGATCTCAACTTTTGCTTTTCAGCAACCGATTATATTGTCGAAATGAGTGGAAAATGATGTTCTTTTGAAGATAAATGCTGAATTGTGCTTCGCCGACGCGTTTCGTATCTTTTAAAAGAGATTACTCTTCGAGACTATATATCTGGAGTAGATCAGAGCAGAGATGATTATCATAATACATGAACCTGAAAAGAAAGTTGAATAGAAAAAAATAAAGCAACGGATAATGATCGATTTATGATAAGGAAGATCTCATTATGCTGATCCGATAATTACCACGTTAATTTTGTATATTCTAAAGAAAAGAATAATGATTATGTAGGTTTTTGTAAAACTTTATCTTTATGTGACCAATGCCACCATGTTCTGTAATAAAACCTTTTTTTGCATTCTTTGCACTTCTCAGTAGCAGTAGCAGATAACAATATAATTTAAAATAACCTTGAAGATATTCAAAAGTCATATCATCTACAGCTACTATCAACTAATGTAGCAAAATCTATAATCATTGAAAAGAAACGACTTGGAAAAAATGGACTTTCATATCAACCATAACAAGCAAAAACAAAAACAAAGTAAAGGAAGAAATATTATGTTCATAACATGTTTTTCATAATGTTTATGGTGGAGGAGGTAAATAGAATGACTGTGGTGGAGCTGATAAATGCATTGATTGTGATGAAGATGATACATAAATTGATTGTGGTGGAGGAGGAAGATAAAGTGATACTGGTGGTGCAGGAAGATATAGCGATATTGGTGGAGGAGCTAAGTTGATTGATTGTAATGCTGCTATACCATTAAGTTCCCCAATTCGACCACTACGTGCCATGGTTAGCAGAAATAAGTTCAATACGAAGACAAAAAAGACGAAGGCTAAATCTACAATATAAACTAGTGGCATGATTGATTTTATGAAAAACCTGTTCATTCGTAGAAAAACAAACAAAGACTTTACATAAACACGACAATATCTTATTTAATACAATAAAGAAAAACTTAGGCTATAACTAAACTGTCTTTAAATTTGTTTCCATATTTCTGTGTACGAAAAAAAATGAAAAATACCATTTAACAACTGCTTGATCCTGCTCTCTCCGGTGAGATAACCACTACAAATAGCCATAGTGATCTTACGCACATCTGTCTTATTCTATAAAATAATCGACATTGTTGCTGTTGTTGCCCTATTGATTCGATGAAATTCTCAGCATTAGGAAAAAAATGAGAACAGAAGAGATTAATCGCTTCGAATGAAGATGACTGGCATCTCCAATGCCGGAAGGGATCTGTTACCACTGGGCCACACCTTCCTCAAGCACGCCGACACAGCCATCGACGCCAGCGATTATAAAGAATTAAAGAAAAACAAAATATATTGGATTCTAAGATTTGCTGTTCTCAAAGTTATTTTTGTTCTTTATTCATATTTTATTTTGTATAAGATATCCCAATAAAATTGAAATATTGTTTTTAAATTCGAAGGATAAAGTCTGAGATAAAATCCCTAACTAAAACTTTAATCATACGTGCTGTTTAAAATAAGTAGTAATTGTTGCTGTTGTATTAAATGAAGAAATGATTCGATATTAGTTAGCAGAAGTATCTATGTATTTACAGTACGGCAGAACAACTAGGATAGAATTACGACAGAGCAGCCACGACAGAGCAGCTATGATGGATGAACTATGAGGAATGAGCTACGACAGATCAGGTACAATAGAGGGGATAGGATAGACCAGCTACGACAGATCAGGTATGATAGAGCAGTTACAACAGAGGAGATACGACAGATCAGTTAACATACAGCAACTATGATAGAGGAGATATCAGAGATCAGTCACAACAGAAGAGATACGACAGATCAGCTACAATAGATCAGTTATGATAGATAAGTTACAACAGAATGGATACGACAGAGCAGCTACGACAGATCAATTATGACAAATCAGGTATGACAGATAAGTTACAGCACAGGAGATATGATAGATTTGATACGACAGAGGACATATAGCATACCAACCGCGACAGTGGAGATATAGCCTACCAACCACGACAGTGGAGATATAGCCAACCAACTACGACAGTGGAGATATGACAGACCAGCTATGACAGAGGAGATACGACCGACCAGTTATGACAGAGAAGATATGACAGACCAGTGACAACAGACGAATTATGACTTATCAGCTACGACAGATGAGGCACGAAATAGAAGCTACGATAGACTAATCACAACAAATCAGTTACGACAGATGAGATAAGATAGATCATCTGTCATTTAGGAGGTAAAGAAGTTGAGGTATGACATAGTTCTATTTATAGTCTCCTGATATACTGGTAGGGGTTCGTTGGTAGATATGCATATCATAACTAATTTCTTAAGTGAGAGGGTGTGAATGTGTGTGTAAGTCACCACGATAAACCTAGACTATTTCGAATGTTACTAACTCAGTCTTATGAAGTGGCCTAAGTACTAATACAAGAGATCTGAAACCTAAGTTCCAAATCCACACATGATACTACAATATCTGCTAAGTTGAAATTTTCAATTACAAAAGATTTTATAGATTGAGAGCATCGCACGAAGTTTCGTCCTTGCTCAATTGACTCAACGAGTATGTTTACAATCTATAAGTAGATGTATGCTTATTTATGTGTTTTGATATCTCATTTGTTCTATGTCTAATGTCCTTTTCTCTCCTTTGCGAGAGTAACATTGCTATCTGAGTTATTATATACAGAATACTTAATCAAATCCATGAATACTATTACCAGAAGGTATGTACGTTATATTCAAAAATGATCAGAATGCGAACTTCTAGCTCTCTATTATGCCTTTAACTCCCCTTACTTTCGTTAACCGTTGAAGCTACTTTAGTGACATTACTTCGTTTAGTCGTTTCAGCATTGTTTAATTTGTTTAGGGTCTTTACTGTACGCCTGGTAAAAAGGACTAAATAAATCAAAAAAGATTGCGGCATTCAGAAACGTTTATGAGTAGTATATGTCAAGACAATGAAGACAAGATAAAAGAAAGTGAAAACCTACGCAGTTTTTTGATCATTCGAAAAATCGGTAATGACTACTAAGCCAATTAAAAAAAACCGTTTTTTCTTTAGATGAAGAAAACAAGTCATCAAAAGAAACTGGTGAACAATGGTAACATGCAGTGAAAATTAATGTAACAAAATTATTATTTATTATGCTATTTCTCAAAATCAGAATGATTGGGATATGTAAGCTGTTATGTACAAGACAAGCTCACTTTAACTTCATGTAAGCAGCTGAGTCTTCATGTACATCATCCATACATTGGACAAATTATATATGATATATATGATGATAATATGAATGAAAAGAATTACCAACAGTGCTATTATGATCGTCGAAATTAGAACAATCGGGTTCTTTGCACCCATCGATTCTGTCTTTCACAAACATCATCGTTGTCGCCATTGTATTCGGGATTATCCCCCTGAACAATTTATTCTATGGTTTTCGTGTTCATTCAATCAAACAATTATTTGGGATCGAGCCACCCCAGCAAATCAAAACTTGTCACACTTGGAAACCAAACCAAGAAAAAATATTTTGGTTAACTAAATCTTCAACTGGCTCCGTACGACCACTCAAATTTTATTATGATCAATAATCCAAATGCTTTAAAACTTCAATTTGGAAAATTAAACCAGATCGAAAAAATAAATACCCACACCCGCACCCTCAGCAATTATTGCTGAAATTTGTATTTTATCAACAACAATTAATAATTAGGTATGTATATTTTATAAAAAGAAAAAAAAGTAGATTTTGTGTTGTATTTAGTTTGATTTTGTTTTGTTTTTCTTTTTATACTTACATGTAGCGTTTTCTTTTCTGTATATAAGTTTGTACTATTTTTCTTTTCGTTTTGTATTTTCGTTATGTTTTTGTTTTTTTTTCTTCTTTTTTTTCCTTCTGTTTCTGTTCTATTGTTAATTTACTTTTTTAATGTTTGTTCTTAAATCAATTGGAAAACAGATCGACTTATATTTCTATAAATACAAATCAATCTACTAATCTTAACTCTTGCTTTTCAGTAATCGATTTTCTGTTGCAAAAGTAAATAGGATAATATATAAATGTGCTTGAATTAAAATAATTAAAAAGAAATGCAGAGTTATTTCGCCGATGTGTTTCGTATCTTTGATAAGATAGTACTCTTCAGAGCTAGAGACTTCCTCATCTATAATAGAATGACAATGATGATTATTGTTATATATTAAATGAAAAAGAAATATGAATAAAAAGATACATAAAAGTTTTCAACTTTATTTCAAATAGAATATTACGATTGTCAAACATGTAAAACAAACATGAAATTACATTGAACAATATATAAAAACAAAATTAAAGACAGATCACATACAAAAAAAATTGAAAAACTTAAACTATGTCTGAAGTAATTTTTGTTTATGTTGATAAAGTATTCCATTTCTTCTTCTTCTTCTTCTTCTCTACTGCATGTCAAGATGCCAATCGTAACTTACAAATAGGATAAACCATTCGAAAAATGTGATCCTAATTCAAGTGAAAACTGTTCGCCCGATTTTTTTTCTACTAATTCTATCTATTATTCAAAACTTTTGCAATTCCATAACCGACCCAGTCGAGATACTATTCAACTATTCAGCACATCCCAGAAATAAAACCACACATAGAAAAAAATTGTGAAGTTCATTCAGTCAACGCCTATTTCTATTGTCTATTCAAACACTGAAAAAAACAACATACTATCCTTGCTTCACAGTAGCAGCAATAGATGAATACGTTCGACAAAGGTCAAAAAAAAAATATACATGCCAATATTCATCATATCCGACACTCGACGAGAGTAGTGAACAATTTTCTCGGTTAATACCATCTAAGTACCTTCCATTCATTCTGATTACCAATAAACAACTGTACAAGGTTGCCTCTATAAATATCACTATTCCATGAAGTATGATCCGAGCCATTATGAAACAGTAAAATGTGAACCTTTGATTTACGTTGCATCCTCATCTGTAAATACATCAGAGCATGAAAATGAACAGATCGTGTGCAGATTAAAGCTATTTGTTCAACAAAAATCGTCATTTAACGCGAAATATCTGTTTCCACACATAAGAAACATCAAGTAGGGGCTCACTAAATTTGATCTGATAACCGTGAAGCAATTCTACGCTGAACTTGCACGTTCCCTCCACGAAAGATTTCCAACTACATCATATCGAATATTTATCTTACAAACTTTCTAACTGCATAGAACAATTCAGAACAAACTCCTTTGATACTTGACTTATTCTTACAATCCACAAGAAATATGAAAAGTCATTCCCTTCATCTGATATGCAAAACAACAGCACATCAATCTAGCATTCATAGTCGCATTCCGTACATCATAATCAAAGCAATTGACGGTAAACAAAACCATAAAATCAAAACATTCCAAATACTCAATATTCTGCCCGCAAAACACTCACAAGAGAATACATCCAACAGCTATAACCATACAAAGCGGCAGTGCAATAAACATCAAGAATGATAGCTATGTCACAAAAATCCTCCAACCATATAAAAAAAGTACATATTTCACAAAAACCCGATCAAGCCCGCAGAAAATCGAAGAAAACCAGCCTCAATAGGTAACTACCATCAAAGATACCTTCTCGCCATCATACACCAAATCTGCATCGGTGACATAACAGAAACAAAAACACCATATAAACACGAATGAAAACATAAAAAGCAACATACACACTTAAAAGTAAACCAGCTAACCCAAAAACCCCGGTCACGTGGGCGACA